GAGAAAATAAGACTAAATTGGGTAATATTTCATGGATATTTAAGAAATTTTAATCAATTTATATTTTTGTTGATGAAATTTTTCCCTCTTCAATGAACTTTTTTCGTAATTTTTTTCATTTAGACTATATTAATACAGACAAATTATATATCAATAGAAAGATAGTTAAGAATTCAATACATTACAGTCCAAAATAACCGATATTAATGCTTGCTATTGATGAAAAGTAACAAAAATAGTAAAATATTTGCATAATTTTTCATCATGATTTTTTTATGCCTTAAACTTGCTACACATCCATTAAGAATGTATAAAATTGGAGTAAAATGTTTGAACTTCATGTTTAAAGTTTAAAAAGTAAGCTTAAATAGCTTAAACATAAAAAAAATTACCAAAAAAGAATCGTCCATAATATTTTGCACGCACCTGATTTTGAATTTTAACGGTTTTTTCAAAAATTATTAACTATAGCATATTTATATTTTATCATGTGAAAGCACATGAAAAACAATATAAGTGGTGAAAATTTCATCTAAATTGGACAACGTTAAGTATGCTTTTGAGAATAAAAACGAAATTTTTTTGACCGTCCATAATATTCTGCACGCTACTGTAAGTAATAAGGAACACGCAATGATGTAATTCTCTCTGATAATTAAGAGCTGAACTTTTATAACACATAAATTTTCTGTCTTTCTTAACGCCATTTTTTACATGCTTTATGCTGTGTTAATAAGGCATGTGTATTTAATAATAATATGCTTCGTACGTAAGGAGATAAATGTTTGCTAAACTTAATTAATTTCCTAATCATATAATTTGATGAATTCATTCAGTCGGAAATGTTCAACAACAATTCCTTCGTAAGAATCAAATTAAATTGATTAAAGATTAAAGTAATGATTTTTCAAAAATCAAAATAAAAGGATTTTAATTTTATATTGTACGTAAACATAAGTGGATATTATGTTTTATAGCAGATATTTTTCTCGATATCAAGAGCTTGCTTGTTCAACTGTGTACAATGCATAAAGCTTCTTCCAACATATGCACACATTTATTCACTTTGCGGCTAGAACTTGCTCATATATACAAACAGCAATTGTTCCAGTGTCAGTGCATTAAAAGGGCACTTTTATTTAATCAAATGCAAATGCAATTGTTTATCGTTGAGAGTGAAAATGCTTTATGCTTTGATGCTATCCATATGCACATGTATGTGTACCATTACTAAAGGAAATTGTTTGTATATTTTTTTTAAAAAAACGATGCAAATGGATACAATATCACTTTGTATCATATTTGATTTTGACGAGAGAAAATGTCAGGAAATAACAAAAAAAAAAAAGAAATAAATTCCAACAAAATAAAATTCACTCTTCACTTGTGAAATTTTTTATTTAAATTCTTTGCGTCTTCCAATGGAAATACAAATTTGAATATCGCTGTTGAGCAGCATTCGTGTGTAGTAAACAACTGTATAGATATAAAACCAAAAGCAAAAACAAAATTACGTTGAATTGATTTGTGTAAAGTCATTGAATAAGAGACAACTTTTTTCTTGATATTTCAAAGCGCAATTAAAGAATAAAATGTCTTTGCTTTCTTTATAATTTACCCATCCATTTAAGGAATTAATCTGAAATAATAAAATTATTTTCTTGATTTATTACATGAATTTGATGATTAGGACTAAAATGAAAAATTCATTTTTTTTGTGGCACTTTTTGAAGAGATAAAATAATAAAAGAAATACGATTTTTTTGAACAATTTTTTTTTTCGAAATGTGGCACAGAGTATGATTTATCATGATACGAGAGAAAAAGAAATAAGTAAAGAATAAAGAGCCTTTTTTAATTCCCCATCATTACATATACATAAAGAAAAACAATAAAAGGATGGAAAGTCAAGCGAGATAGAGTTATAATAGAGTTTTCCACGTCAAACCGGCTGTGACGCTTATAATGATTTGTTTCACTATTTTAAAATTATGTTGAAGAATTTCAATCTTAAATTGTTACAGATTTACTTATGCAAAAACAGAGAAAAAGTAGAAAATGTCAAAACCAAACGCGATCAGTAACTGAAAATGGCAATAAGAGACATTTTTATGTCATGAAATGTATACATATTTTATATTCGAATGCATTTGATACGTATTCAATAGCAGCATGGTATTTTGATATGAAAAATATTCAATTGTACTTTTACACCATTGAGCAATGCTATATAAAGAAGATGTAGATGGTAAAGTCAAGATAAAATCAAATTTCTCAGATTCCTTTTGCTATTTCTTTTTCTATATTTTCTGTTTTTGTTCTCCTTTTACAAACTTCATTGCTTTTTGCCATTTTGCATTAAAAAGATTAATAGTACAAATTTATTTTCAAATCCTTCCAACAGTTTTTCCCTTTGTTGTTTAAATAAAATGCAAATTAAATTGCATCAAACAAAAACAATATAGCAACGAAGTCAAACATAACAATTATAAAGTACTACTTGTAGAGGAAAAGCTTCATGATTCAATGTGTGTTGATTACTACAAATTTCTATGTTTTCAGAATTTGCTTACTTTATGTATCAATAATAATATAATACTCGATTACGGTGATATCAGATTATTGTTTTGCATGCACGTTTGATTAAAATCGGTAGCACTAAGAACACCCTAAACTATATACGTGTAAGTATCATAAATTTCTGCTTTTAATTGTTGCGGATGCTTGAATTTTTATTATAAAAAATCGAATAACTCATTAAAATTTACAAATTGCTTTCAACTTATTTTCATCGGCATCATCTTCCTTTCTTAATTTTAAAAAGGGACGTGAAGTTCAAAAGAGAATTGTTTGCAAAAAAAAAACAACTCCGATTAATATGATCTTCCCCAATAATGCCCCCAAAATTTATCGGAAACAATTGTGGAGAAATAAAGCAGGAAAAAATTTTTTCTTCTGCTTTTAAAGAAAGAATTGTGTCTTTCTTATGAAATTCAAACTGCATAATAATCTCTGCCATGTCATATCTACTTTAACAATTTGGCATGCACAATCTCAATGGAGTTGAAAAAAATTGCACTCCTCATTTTATTCTGCGACTACATTCTGACGCAACATGAAGAATGGCAAGAAACAGCAGCAGAAAACCTTCACTGTGAAAATTTATTTTTATTCTGTTCTTCAATTGAACAAGAATGTGAAGTGAGAAGGAGAAGAAATGCAAATTCATGACATCACAACGATCTACAATCTACGATTCCACTTGACATAACAAAAAAAAGTGAAGATGAGATATAGTGAACAAAACCTCGGAGCAACAATTTTTTTGCCAAATTGCAATTTCTTTCACTCAGTCGTATATATATATAGACGAATAAAAAAGGAGTGAATGAAAAAACGAGCACCAGATTTAGCTTGAGGAGAAAATTTCAAAATGCCATTATTTTACATCACCGAGAATGAAATTTCGTTAACCATGAACAAATACTAGAAAGAAAACGTCATAAGCAGGAACATTCTATTCAATATATAAAGTTATAAAAATTGTTTAAAATATGCTTCAACAGCTGTTACTAATAAATTTGTGTGCATTGATATTTTATGTGCTGTATACCACTCAGATAACTTTTTTTAAAAAAATTAAATTGCAATAAAAATTTACCGAAAAATGTGTTGGAGATATCGTAAAGTAGTTCTACATTAGACTGTTTAGAATATTTTTATGTTTATATAGCATTTTATTACTATATATTAACTGCATCTTTAAAACCTATGTTAATAATAAAGTTACGCAATTATAAAGTCAGGAGAAAGATCCAGTAGTGTATATTTGTTATTGGACTCCCCATCGTCCATATCCATACATTTATAATATATGAGTTAATGTCGATGAAACTGATATATTCACGAATTCACATGAACGATAAATCATTTTAAAAAATTGATATTTCAAATTCTTTTGTAATATCTCGTATTTGATCCACTTTTCTGGCGTAGGCAGTGTGAAAAGCTTCCATTCAACATTAATGTTGTGTCCATATGAGTATTATCAATCTTACATTGCCTTGAAAATTATTTTACATTTTTTTCTCTCGTATATAAGTGAAGAAAAAAGAAATGTTGACAAAAAGAATTTTTAAGCGCACCTTACATTTCTGTTGGGTGATTTTATTACGGGAACACTAAGAGTTGCTTCCTATATTGTGGTAAAGCGCCCGAAATCGTTTTATTTTTATGCGTTGCATCATAAAAAGGAAATTTTTATGTCATTCGTTGTATAAAATTGAATTGAAAGTTTGAAATTCGGTTTTTAGGGTCAAAGCATGACCATCATTTTACACACTACGCTACACCGCATGCTATTTTATATATTTATATATAAAATATTAAATGCTCTTTTCACAAATTCATGACTGCACAGACCTTTTTACTTAAATATTTCTACTCTCAATTTTTTATGACTCTAGTGCTAAGTTACTTTGTAATTGACCATCAATTTGAAATTTGAAAGCCAAAGAGTAATTAATTCTATTTAATTAATTTGAAATTATGAAATTTCTTCGAATTATTTCCTCGATTTGCTCTCCCAAATGTATTACTTTTCTGTTGTTTTCATTTAAAAAATTATGGTTTATTTGAAGAAAGTTTTACTTTAAATATTTATTGACACAATATTTGGCATTACTTAAATAAAAATATGAAAATTTGAAGAGAGAAAGAGTAAGACGAACATACACTTAATGAACTTAATTTAGTTGAAGTGATCTCATGAAATCACTGAAATAAATTTTCTCATCAGCAAAGCCTCAAAATGTCTCCACTAGCAACATTTTCAAATGATAATTTATCGAGTCACTTGACGATAAATCTAAATTTTAACACTTAACTAATTAGTAAAATTTACCTATATTTTAATTAGCTTAATTAATAGCTTTCAAATGAAAATAAATTCTCATTATTAACTCATGAAATTTTCTTCTCTTTCTTTTGTTCAACTTTAGATTAATAGTCACAGTAAATCGTCAACAAAAAGTCGATTTTGGAACAGATCGTTTCACATTCTATCAAGTGAAAATAAAATAAATGCAAATATCGATGAAATGAAACACAAATGGAGTCACTCACTACAAATGAATTTTGCAGGACTTTACAATAATAAATCTAATGGAAATGAAAATGATGAAAATAATAAGAAAATTATTATTAACAATAATAATAGTGAAAATATTATATGTAGACTAGACCGGAAAGAGAAATATGCGGAGTTTAATATCGCAAATAGGAGTAGATGTAATTGGAAAAGTTTTTTGGCCTCCATAATTATAGTCCTGCTGCATCTGACAACATCGGTTGAATGTCTTCAAGCTAGACAGGAAGGTAAGTAAAATTTTATAGAAATGGATTTTATTCCTATATTTTTAAAAACTTGCGTTATTAACGCAACAAGCAAGTTTTATTGCGTTTAAGTCGACATAAAAGATTTCTTTAGCATTATTGAAACTGTAAGAAACAAAGATGATATTGTTTGTCTCTAAATTACATTATTTTTAAAACTTGCAACAGATTATGTTGTAATTACATGAAAAAATTCTTTATTAACAACATTGTGATGCATATGCTAGGTACGTAAAGATGTAAACAAAGTTAAAAATGAGAAAATATTTTTATATGCAAAAAATAGACGTGGAATAAACGAACATGCTGCTCTATCATCATCATTATTGTTTTAAAAAAAAAAAAAAGATTGAGAGTATAAGTTGGGTAGCTGGGTGAAATAAGACGGATAAAAATCTCTTCCTCAATATTTAAACTTAATTTTACATATTTCTCTTTGCCATTTTCTTCCTTCTTGAATTAAGAAGAAAAAGGCTCATAGCATAATTTTATTATGCATTTATTTTTAAATCGACTTTTTGGTTCTTCTCGTTCGTCATGTCTTTTATGCCTCGTAAACATAATTTTTTTACTAAAAGAATTAAAAAATTCCCTCACTTTACATAAATATTGTGTACGTTCATGAATAAGGAGGAAACATCATCTGTGAAAGATTGAATGAATAAGGAGAAGTATAAAAGAAAAACAATAACAGATTCTTATGCATAAATTAAAATGAACTCTTTTTCGCTATATGAAAATATTCCCGTGAATAATAATTAAGGATTTTTGTTGTTAAGTAGCTTGCAGTTGAGGTAATAAAAACATAAAAATAAGGGTTCTAATTTATATATGTAGTGGAATGGGTAAATAGCTTTAAAAAATGCAGGAAATTTAATAAACCATAAGAAAAAGTTATTATTTTATAAACATAAGTTGATAAAATTTTTAAGGAAGAGACTCTCCTTACTCTCAAGGCACATGTGATGACGATACATCCTGTTTCAACATAAATATATCCTCTTATATCTCATGAGTAGATATTTGGAATATCTTTCTCCATTATGGTTACACATAAAAGCGTTTGATTGAATCAGGACATTCTTGGTGTTTATTATAGTTTCTGTAAATTTAGGATCTAATTTGATGTAAAATTTGTTAGATTAATTTTTTTTCGCTCCACTCATATATCCTCTTTCATAATTAAATAAGATTTAAATCTCCTTATCAATTCTACAAAAAAAGAAATCATAAAATTTCTCAAATATGTATCTAGACAGTTTATTTTTCACAACCATGCTTCATTAAACTTTCACATTTTCATCAATCCTGTCTTTATTAACTCTACCTTAACTTCTTGATTAAAAATTTGCTTAATAAAAAATCTAAACTTAATTTTATTTTTTTTTTATTATTGTACATTTATTGTTATTTCGTTATTACGTTATTATCTGCTTTTATTTTTCTTTTCACATTTTTCTCGTAAACATATTTATATTGTACTGTGCATCAAGGCTTGTGTCTTCATCAAGACAACGGCAACGATGCAGAATATAAATAGTAATGATAGAATTGAATTGCTTCAACCTGGAAAGTACATAAATTATTTTTTGCTTGAAGATAAATCCTTTTCAGATTTATTATGTTCCTTTTATTTTTGCTACTGATGCCTTTGATTCTACACTATTTACCCGGGTCGTCGACGAAAACGGGGTTGTAAAAAAATAAAAGAGAGAAAAAGAATGAATTGTGGTGGTTAAAATTGCGAACAAGGTTCTTTTCCATATACGAGTAAAAAAAAACATTTATCTAAAGAAGAAGAATATCAAGGAGGTTGTGTTGCTGGTAACAGCAAGATTATAAATATTGTAAAGTCCTCGAGAGTTATGTTTTGAAAGAGTTAGTGTAAAGAAGTAAAAGAGAGTGTGTGCAGAGGGCCATTGATAACACTAAAGACATACACTTCTCATATCATCATACAAAACTGCTCAGATTCATCATTCACCATAGAACGATATGATGTATAATGTGATGTTATGATTGAAGGAAAATAATTTCATATTCAAGATTAGCTTTTATGCCTTTTTATTTCACTTTTTATTATTTATTATTCGCATTTAAAAAATGGAATAAAATATAAAAAGCAGAAAAAAAAAATTTTCACATGTTTCTTGGTTGATTTTTTTTTTCACTTTGGCTCCAGACATACACATATCACAAAGAAGCTGCAAAACCAGCTAATCTTTTTTATTGCCTCATATTTATATTCAGGCTCAACTTCATATTTTTTCTTTTTATTTCTGGCTAAAGAAAAAGAAATGAAAATTTATTCCAAATAATTTATACGCATACAATTTAACTTATATATCTATCTACATGATGTAAGGGTAAAAATTTTCGTCCAAGGTATTTCTCTTACGGTATAAAAATTTGAGGTATTTTTCAAAGCTGAATGAATGAGAGAGAAAAGTAATGTTTCTATAAAAATTGGCAGTGAATTGAAGCTCAATCAAATAAGCATTTAATACCCTAACATATTTTTTGATTTCTTCTTATCTCGCACTCATTCTCAATTTAATGCTACTTCTTTTTGAAATTCGGATGAATTTAAGAAAGAAAATTATTTTTTATTATTCAGGTATAGATAGGTCTTCGTGCGATTTTTATGTCTCATGTTTTTTCATTGAAAGATTTCATACTTGCGTCTTCTGGAATTTCGGGTATATTGCAATAAGTATTTCTAAGACGGTAAGCATCACTTTATAATTTGGTCAAATGAAACTTTAATAATTATAGCAAAAGTTGTAGTAATATTCTACTTAGATTTTAAGCTTCTGCAGAAGAAAATTCTTTGAAATTATCCCGAGAAGATAATCCTTGCTGTTGACATTGGCATTGATTTGTTTGCATTTGTCTGGATCAGATAAATTCTGAGACAGAAATTTCTTCATAAAGATCGATTCTATATGAAGATAGAAAATCTAATCTACACAAAGATTATTTGGACATGAAGATTCTGTCTAAATAAAGATTCGATGTAGATGTCTACAATTCTACATTCTTCTCTGATGTAGACCTGGAAAAAATGTAGAATTGTAGACATCTACATCGAATCTTTATTTAGACAGAATCTTTATGAACAAATAATCTTTGTGTAGATTAGATTTTCTATCTTCATGTAGAATCGATCTTTATGAAGAAATTTTCTTAGCTAGACAAAAACTATTGAAGAATCTACATTCTTCATCTAGTGTAGACATCTACATTTGCAACACTGTTTAATTCAGATTTGATGAAACTGTGTTAAAAATTTAAATATAGTACGCTTTTAATCTATTTTCCTTTTTCAACAACAAGCAGCTCATTGAATGATTCCATCGACTTAAATAAGAAAGGAAAGGTTTAAAAAATTTCGAAAAAATTTATTAGGCAACAACCTAAATTTTAATGCTTTTCCCAGTAAACACACATATATATATATAAATATATATATATATATATATGTATAAATTTATAATTTTCGCCCTTTTTTGCTTCAGCGATGATATAGAATACACTTGACGATGCGTGACTAAATCATTGTTGAAAGCATTCCTTTGCTATTTTAGTATTGTAGCTTTTTTCGCACCTTTTCCATTTCCATCTTCTGCATACGATCTTTAGAAAATAAAAATAAGTGAGATTAAGTTTTTATTAAGTTTTTACAGTTTTAAGTTAAACATGAAAACTATTAGAAACTTGTTTTGAATGATATCTGACAATAAGTGGGGAATAAATTTAAATCATTATGTCTTAGGTCGATTATTAAAGAACACAAGTGCTACGCTTAACGAAACAGCTCTTAAAATTTTAAAAAATAAAAGCAACAACATTTTCATCGTCATTGTGGTTGATGTAAAAAAAATTGGATATGAAAAGTGACCGACAGACCACATTAATTTTATTTGACATGACGTGGTGATATTGACAGATTCTCCAGCTCTTTCTAATTTTTGGGGTTCTTTTATATCAAAAACACCAAAATCATCCGAAAATGATTTTTTATTAACTCATATTTTGTTTGCCTTTTCTATCTTGTCATAAAACCTAAAACGGTCACCAATCACTTTATTCAGTCAATCAAGGATACTCCTCATAATCGAAATTTTTCATTTTATATAAAACAGTGATGTCTTTATTTTAAAATGATACATGAACAGTAAGGGTCAATTAATATGCAAATTACTGTTACATGGTCAACTCATCTATTCGTATAATTTAAATGGTAATTTTTATGATGATAATTTATACTGAAGAAACTTGGTAGAATGAAAGAACTGAAACGAATAATCATCGCCGCATGTGAGCAATAGTAAATTAAATTGAGTACATTTTTCGTTATATAGTCTATAGCCTAAGCGCATTTGAATATTTAATAGAAATACCATGTATATTTTATGTCAGCCAAATTTTGACTAACACATCATTATATCTTACTTCTTAATTAAACTCACCTGTTGTGATCCTCTTGGTTCAATGAAGAGCGATTCCTTCTAAACAAAGTCATAAAATTGTCTGAAATTTATTTGATAATTTTACTCAAAAAGTAACAATTTGGCTGTAATTTTTTTTTCTTGTTCCTAAATGCTTTATGTTCCTTTATTAGAAAAAAATAATGAAAACTGTTGAGTAAGTGATTGATTTTTTATTCATTCTATTATGAATAAACAAAATCATTATTATCGCTTTTGAATTGAAATAAGTGCTAAATATATTTGAAATTGAAATGATTGAAGTCTATCTTTAAGTTTATGTATATGCTTGAGTTTTAGAGAGCGAAAAAATAACACGCGTGCACAAAACTATTTTAAATATTGAAAAGGAAAAAGGCATAAATCGAAAGAGAAAACATAAAAGCAGATTCCGCCTTTTATTGTCGATATATATAAGCATAAATACTTACTCATACAAATAGATTGTTTAATCGACGGTGAAATAATTGTGCGTTCAAATCAACTACTCAATTGAAGTGCATTCTAACAAATGAATTATTCAATGGCATATCAAATTAACCAAATAATTTGCATTTTCCTTTCCATTTTCAAATCCAATTTAATTGCCTTTAAAGCTCTTTTCTCCTTCTTTGTTTGCTTTTAAACATAGGCAGTAATTTATGAAATTGAAAGACTTCTGTCCGCAAATAAATAGTGAATGAGTTCGAGAATGAATAGTAATAATAGGGAATTAAGTTAAGTATTAAACTTGGAAACAGTTCATATTAAAATAGGAGACCATACATGCTTTGTAGAAATAGCCATTAGGTCAGAATTCTGAGAAGTTATTTCATAAAATCAAAAACGTTTGATGAATAAAACCTTATGATATCTTTTTTAGATTTTCAATTACTGACACACATAAATTAGAAGTAATTATTTGCTTATCATCAATAAGTTAAGTTTAAAATATTTCTATCGAGATAAAGGAAGCACAAGTTGAATTATATTCTTATTTATTTCTATATTGAAAAATTTAATATTGTTTATTACAGCAACATGTATTCACAGCTATGCAAATAGCAATTAATATAATTATACTTTTTTATATACTTTTTTAAACCATTTATTTTTGTTGTTGTGCAATTTATTCTCATAAAACTGAACAGGACAGAGAATGAAAGGAAGAAAAAGAAATGAAAATGGATACATTTTCGGAATTGGAAAAGGGAATTAAAGACAATCCTTTTGTTCTCAACAACATTACAACAGATATTTATATTCTCTGTCATTTTCCGATTTTTTGCTCATTTCAACTTGTTCTTGCTGCAAAAAAAGCTTCATTTATTCTAATATAAAAATTTATCTGACACTCCGTGTTTCTGACAACGAGTGAGTGAGAGAACTTACACAAAATTTTATTTATTTTACATGGCATGAACATAATGTGAAATTTTGTGCGTAAACATAAACATACAAATAAACCAACACGAAGAAAGAGCTTAGTTTAAAAGACAATATGTGTGTTGCATGAAAAATTAAATGAATGAAAAATAAGAATTGAACTCAACAAAAATCAAAAAATCAAAAAAAAGTAAAGTTAAAATTGCAGCAGATGGAGAAAAATTGCGTTTTTCTCGGGAGAGTGGAAAGAGTAAGCTACTATTTTCATTATACTAAATTATAACCTCTCCAATAAAAACTCAAGAACGTAGCCAGTTGCTAAGTTGAAATAAAAATGAGGAGAATGTGTGTGTTATGGATAAAAGCAAGAAACAATCTTACGGAATTTATGTATGTTTTATCTCAATTGCTCTCTATACTGTTTTGTTGTTGGTTCCATTTCATTTTTATTTAGGACATTTGCAAAAAAAATTCTTTTACTTTGTCTCTATGACTTCTTTACAAAAATTAATTGCTTCAAAAATCAGCTCAAATAATTCAAATTTAAAGTAAAAAAATTGCTTTAGTTCTGTCTAATGCGTCTAAACTAGTATTTCAAAGATTTTTTTAACTATATTCATTCTGTATTATGGCTTCAGCAACACAATAATAGTAAATGGATATTAGTTCAAGTTACACCCTTTTCTTCGTCTCCACGTTATTTTGTGTAGTCATAAAATTTTTCTGTCTATTGTATTACGGTTTGAAATAAGAGATTAACTGAAGTTCGTGAAATAAATGTAAGTTACTTTTCAGATTTTCCCTCAGAAGCAACATGAGAGGCAGTAATTTTTTTTGAAAGACGAAACTCCCCTAATCTTATAAATTAATTCTCACAGAGAACATCGCGATGTTTGAACTGAAATTTAATTAATTTAATGTCAATCAAAATTTATTGATATTTCTGCTTTAGGGCACAGTAATTATTTTTGAGATAAAAACAATCATGAATTTATTTGTTTCTGCAGATTAGGAGTCACTCACTTATGACGTGATGATTTTTAACCCCCCCCCCCCCCCTCCCTTTCTTGTCACAATAAATTTTAAATTTATATATAAAAGTAATAAATTCAATATTTAATGAAAATTGAAGCCCTAAGATTATTTTGAAAATTCTTGAACATGCTTTTTAATTTCGGTTTCTCTTTTTCTTGTCTTTTAACTTTATGACAATTTTTTACCTCGCACATTAAGAATTATTTTTCATGTGCTGCTACACAAACAAGTTCTCAAAAATTGTGTTATCCTTAGATTCCAAAAGTCAACGTGCGACTATCTTGGAAAAGAAGATGTTTTAACATGAGAACTAAAGAGAAATTATGAATTTCGTGGACATATTTATGCAAATGGCAGACCAAGGCGGTAACACTAAAACAAATATCCCTGACCTAGTCATCAAACCATACCAGAAATCATTGGAATTTTTAAGATACAATGTTTGGAAGTGCTGGGATTGTTTAGGATTTTTGAAAATTTTCTTGATTAATCCCGAGTTCTATCCCGATTAATCCCGCCTTGACGCAGACTTTATAATTTTCTATCTGACAGTTTGAAATTTTTCTTGCAAACTTTTTTTTTGTTCCAGACGTAAAAGCGCGCCATAAACAAAGACTATAAAAATTTATGAAATAATAAATCATTTATACGCTTCTGCTTCTTCCACGCCTCCACTAAATCATTTAAAGTCTTAAAGTAAAAACAATAACTTCTATGTTCACGCATGGAAGTAAAGAACGATGTGAAATTCTGCTGAGGAAATTCACCAGGTGCAGTTAGAAAATTGTTGCATTAAAATAATTGACTGTAAGTCTTTTGAACTATACAAACTGTATGATTATCCAATAAATATTTATGTACATAGAGTCTTGCTCTGTTATTATTTTTCCATCTCTTCTCTGTTTTTCGGTACGTTGTATCTGTTCCCTGGTTCACGAATGGGGGAAAAAATTCATCAACCTTACATTGATGTGCATCTATGCGCTTTAGAAATTAAAGAGCTTAAATTTTAAAACGTTCAAGATGAGCTTTATATTTATTTTATTTATTTATTTATTCAGTTCAGACTAGAAAACTTTGCGAACATTACGTTCTTTTTAAAAATACTGAGAAATATTGCACATTTTATATTTCTCAATTCCTATAAAAATAATGTTACAAAGCATCTCAAAGAACAATAATTGTATCTGAATTCATTGATTATACATATAAATTGCATAAATCTCTGTTAATTTAATAAATTTTTGCTGGCTAGAAAATTTTCTAGTTGATAGTAAAAAGATAATTGTTCTTCCAGCTTTAGGTTATAGACTTGTGTTAGTATCTTCTGAGGCGACACATCTCTGATAAAACTGGATATATAAACATAAACAAATGTTGCCATAAGGACATGACAGTCGAATCGATCCATAATTCCACCATGTCCTGGAATTGAATCTCCAAAGTCCTAAAAACGAAAATAAAGATGTTTACAATGAGATCTGAGTTTATCAATATAATTTTGCGAATCCAATAAAATCATGAGACTGTCGAGTTAAACTTTACAATACCTGATGTTACCAATTTCCAAAATGTTCTCAGATACATTTTAAATTAACATGTAACTTTGTTAACAATCAAATTGTCTCTCCCCATTTTTATTTATAATTTTGTGGTTGTCATCTGTGAAAGTAATCTCTCAGTTGAAGGCATCTACTTACTTTAATCTTAAACGCCCTCTTAAATCCTGAAGCGAAAAATCCACCAAATGGTCCAACTACAGAACTAAAAATGCTCAATGAAAAAGAATGAAGTACAAATGGTTGAATATTGAAAATTGACTGGAAATTTCCCTGAAACAACATTAAAAGGAAAAATTTTGCATATTTTTCATGAATTAATTGGCAAATCAATGATATGCGCTTACAATGATAATTATATACTCTTGCGTCTGATATAAATAGCCTGGTGTGCAATCAATTATGACAATTCGGTCTGCATCTTCTGAATAATCAACAGGACATGTGAAATATGGATATTGTAGTAAAAAGTATGACAGAATACTTCCAAATACTACAGTTGCAATTCCTCCTCCTAAATATCCTTCCCAAGTTTTCTTTGGACTAAGTTTAATCAATGGGGTTCTTCCGAAGAAAAATCCAAAAACATATGCCATGATGTCATTCATAATAATCATTAAGGACGGCGTTATAAACCAAATTAATCCTACAATAGAATATTTATAAGTATCCATGAACCTGTTAAAATTTCTTATTATTATTATATACCATCAAAAATATTCCTTATTAATAAGTAGCTCTGCATGACTGTGATCAATATGGCAACATGCGCCCAAGCAAATAAATGAAATTGTCTCGTGTTATACTTCTTTACAAGGAGCATCACAAATACAGTAAATCCAATCAAGTACAAGCAATACGATATAAAACGATGTGATTTGATAAGAAATTGAAGTGACTCAATTCGATTCAATGGTTGTCCAACATAATCAAATAAGTATTCACCATAAAAGAAGTAATTTGATATGCACAGCAAGTACCATGTGAGCTGTCTGAACCATGGAATATCATCAACACGGTAGACATGGAAACCAACTTGCATTATCTCCTGGAAGCATTTTACTTGAATTGCGATCACCTAAAATGTTTTATAAAGATGAGAGCACCAAAGAGTATAAAGAAGGATGTATTAATATAATAAATTAGAATAAAACCCAGCAAGAATGTTTCTATTAATTTTTTGAAGCTTTAAATAATCGGCAAAGAAATAGCAGAAAAAAATTAATAAAAACAACTCCTTAAAAATTAAATTCATCCTAAAATGTCTCAAATAATCATTTTTAAAAATATTAGAACCTAATCAGTATTTAATGTTGGACAAGTCTAAATATTAAACACATCTCATTTGATTTATGAAGGCAAAAAAAGAATCTTCTTTATAGCTAATATTAACTGAAACATTCAAATATTACTGGGCATGGCATAGAATATTATTTTGCATACTAAACCCATTAATGCCAATGGGCCACCTGCTATTAGAACGCAAAATGCTGAGATCATTATTATTGCAAATACGAGGCGAACCACCCAATTTTTCCATCTAGAAATGAGAAAAATAAAGCTTAAGAAATACTTTTCTTGTTATAGTGGTGTATAATACCTCTCAGGAAGACCTTTTAAAGCTGCTGATAGAAATTTCGGTACTTTTTTTGTTCCTTCCTGATGCTTTTCTGTTAATTCTTTTATATACTTTTTCTCCAGAAGAACATCCTCATATTCTGAGTCCATCTATTCATCATAGAGTTAAATTAAAAAATATGATTTTAAAATTTTAACTTTAAATTATCTTTTAAAAGTATGTAAAATAATCTTCACAAATACAAAAGCCATGCGGCTTTTTGTTTGTTGTGTAAACAGTCTGAAATCTAATTTTAAATTGATTGCACCAAATACTCATGCGGTGTGTACAAAAAATAGAAAGAGAGAGTAAATGCGCGATAAGAAAAAAAATGTAGCGAGACATTGTGAAGCGCCTCATGTTAGTTCTCGCATGTTCTCTTTTAAAAATAAGAAGCAATGATAATAAAACTGCGCAGAGAAAATATTATATCCTAGTATCATCAATTAATATTTTTTAACCGTCGCACGAAAATGCTCACAAATTAAACTGCTAGAATTTTTTTTAAATGTGTCACTGAGCAGAAATAAATGCAAATTTCTTGATTTTTTTAGTACTCTAACATACATGATCAGATTCGTTTGTAAAAGTCTCATTTTTAATGATTTTTCTCCTTAAATTGACACTCTCACACAATAAATTTTTATTTTTATTTGTATATTTTGACACTTTACTATCAACGCTCATTTCAATTCTGTTTATCACTTTGCATGCTCATTGTCGACTGTCTCACTAATTCATTTAATGTGGGTTAAAAGTTTTTTTTCCTCATTTTTACGTGTGTTCTCTATTCTCAATTCAAAAAGTCTCTCGTAAACTTAAATTTATAACAATCTCACATTACTGTTATAATTAAAGCTACCATGAAGCTTATCTTATCGTTTTATGATAAAAGATTATATTTCTAAGCTTGATAGCCTGATATTTTGAAAAATTTCTTTTGATAAGATAAAAGACATCGTTCACATGTGACACTAAAGTGGGTTGTTCATGCTTTTGTTTAACATTTTCGTTTTAAGTACTCAAGTCTGGAAAGTCCAGAATAAACAATATTCACAACAACAATCATATAGCCGTCCTTCAAAAAATAACAAAATATTATTTCGTAGTTATTTTCTTGATGTTTAGCCCTTTAACATTGATTGATTGTTAAGTTTATGATATACGCGAGCAACTTTGAACGATTTGCTTGCGTGACAACAAAAATGATTTCAAAAAATTTCAACAATTTTTTAATCATTCATGATTAAAGCCAGAACTGAGTATTCAATAATTGGCTCAGCTTATAGAGCTTGAGAAATAAATCTTATTAAGCTAAGCAACTGAGTTCTAGAACATTTAATGCATTTTGTTATTTGGTTTGATAATAAATAAAAGCGTGTAAATAGATTAGTAATAAATTTTTATCAAAGTTTTTGATAAAGAAAATTCAGTTTAATCAAAAATAATAACTTTAGTTGTTCCCGCAGAGTTTAATGTGAGTTCATAATATGAACGACAGAATGAAAATAAAATAAAAGCGTATGATAAAAGATGTTTCCGTCAAATTTTAAAATGATTTTCGATTAGCTGCTGCTTGTCTATTGTGTATGAGAATTTCTTACTCATAGCTAAACATGTAAAGAAACAAAAAAATTATTATACTCAAAAACCTGACGCGCGCATCAAATCGATATTTTTAACTTGTGGGAATAAACTTGTTAATATAAAGTTTTTGGCATTAACTACAGTGAGATAGAAAGAAATGATATTCAAGCATAACACAATCATAATGATAAACAAATAACACTAAGGGATTTAAACAAATAGAAAAAATAAACAGTAAAGATATGAGAAAAAAAGAAAACGCTTGTTTGATAATTTTAACATAAGTGTGCACTAGAATTTTTTGCAAATACTCGCTTCACAATAAAAAAGTAAATGCTTGTTTTCCATTTAATATTTTGCATAGCTTTGACTATTGATATCAGGCAGCTATTCTCAAAATACTATCAAAAGAATTAAAGAAGAGATTGTTTTCCCCAAAAATTCAAAAGTTGAAATTTCGTAAAATTTTATGAAATAGATCTAAAGACAAAAGATGCATATTTCTGCCTTTTTAAGACGTTTACCAGGCAAAGAGTATGAAAAAAGTTGTAACTTTCTAAGAGAAATCGGAAAAGAGTAAAAAGGAGAGATGAAAAAATTCATAGTTATGATAATTGGAACATTTCGTTTAAAACAAATTGCGAGAGTCTATTTTCATAGGGATTAACTCATTAATATGTAAATTACACAGTCTGTACTCGCTTTATAGTGCAAATTCTTCGTTTCCTTTATCTCTGGGTACTTTTTGAAAAGCCACAAATACACAGGAACATGAAAAAATTAATGTTTCATCTTTTTTCATGATGAGAAAGAGTTTCATATCATTTTTAGTACTAAAAGTTTTTATGACCAAAAGTGCTACTTTTTACACCCGTTTCGTATTAAAACATAATTCTTAATTAAAAATTCTACTTGCGATTTTTATATTCTCCTCTATGCTGGAAAAATTAATGTTAAAACATGACATTAGAGGCTGATGAGGCATCGAAGAAACATTCCTGAAAAGCACAATAAAAAATTTTTGAAAAAATAATTTGTATAAGCGTGTTTTTATCGTTTTTTCGAACTTGCAAGCAAACATGAAGATTACTGTACTTTTAACAAAAAGATAAAGTAAAATTCGTTTAGGTGGAAAAAAATAATTATACTCAGCATATTAAGGATCAAAATTTTTTTAAAGTAAAAGAAGATAAAAACTTGCAATTATTATCAGGCAAAAATCTATTCGTTCAATTGTGACATGGAAAAGGACATTTGAGGTTATAATTTTTAATATGTATTTTTCTTCTTCTTTTTTCAGCTTCCTCAAATTGTGTATTTCCTCAGCAATGGGAAGGCTCGTGGTTTCAGTCAGGAGTTCCACAAACAATAAATATTCAAGGGTCAAAGATGAGCAATCGTGGTGATTGTATAGCAAGTGATGGTGATAAGTTCCTCATGCGAGAGTAAGTTCAAATTATTTACAACAACAATTATCAATGTTGTGCTAACAACTTGCATATTTGATGTCAAAAAACTATAAAATTTCTTTCTGTTCTGTTCTAAACTTTTCTCCCCAACAAAATTTGTTTGTATTAACTATAAATAACTATGAAAAAATAAACAGCAAGCGATGTCATCGATGTGTAGTCATCTATGAGAAACATAAGAATGTTTTACAATATAAAGAAAGTGAGTGTGAAGAAATGGACCATTTTAATCCATCAGCGTTATCAAGCCGTAGCATTATTAAAAGTGATCAAATTAGGGGGGTTGCATTATCATCCCATTCCAACATGAGCGGAAAGTTATCGGCATCGGATCAATTATATAGATCCCATGACGATAGAATTATTAAAGATGATTGTAAGCAATAATCGTCCAAGAAACAGTATGAAAAAAAAAACAGATATCTTATTTGTTTAGTCCTATTTCTAATTTCAAGTTTTATTCCAAGAAAAATTAATTATTGATGATGAAGAGAAGATGTTTGTGATGTGAATTTGACTTTAACCTTCAAGAAAAAAAGAAGAAAATTTTTAAGAAGTCAGATATATCTTTCAATTTAAATCTAAAGATAAAGAGAAATTTCAAAGCCATTATTAATTTATTAAGTTTTTATGTTTGATAAAATTTAATGTTTTGTGGTTGAAAAGCAACAAAACAAATAAAAGCCATTGACGTGATTACCTTTAATAGAAATTTCTTAGATGTAATCGACACTTCCTTGTATGTTTGTTGGAGTTGTAGACATATCTCAACAATTAGAAAGCAATATCCATCAAAGAAAGAAAATACATGAATATTTTATTATTTACTCCATTTCATGATCAATTTATTCAATTTGATTACAAAATTTAACGAGAAAATTTAAAGGAAAAAAATATCAATAGTAAAAATGTTTTTCTGACACGATGTTACCCTCTTCAATCACACACCTTCATCATCAATTATAAGAAAACCAAAATAAAATGGAAGAAGCTGAAGTTTCTTCTCTGATGATTTCTTATTATTAATATTATAATTACAATGATAAACGACAATAAAACTAGGAGATACAACTGCTTAATCATAAAAGATTATTAAAATTTAACTTCTGGACGATTTTGGATTTGAGCTGTTGAATCTTCTAGCAAAAAATTGACATTTTCTAGTTCTGTAAATTAGTTTATTTTAATTATTATTTCTGTGGCGTCCATATTCATTCAATTTATAGTTTGATATTTCCTTTGATTTGATTTTGCGTATTGTGAATATTCTTGTTTATTTCCTATGATTTTATATTTGTAATTTTTATTGAGTAGAATTTTGTCTTGTGAGTTCAATTTTGAAATATATTTGTGATTTATTATTGACTATTGAATGGTTTGATATCATAATTAACTCGCGAATTTTTGAACAGTTATCAATTTCTCACTGGGTAAAAAAAAGTCATAAATGCCATTGATATGGTTGACAAAAAGGAATTTATTTCAACACAAAAAATATATAACTCTAATTACCATATTGCTTTTTCACATCTCAATATTTATATCAAAAGTTTTGCTGTATAAAATGTCGACACTTCAAAACCATATCACATAAAAAAATTAATAGCACAACGAACAAAAAAAGTAGTAGGAAAAATATTTAAATAAAATGAATACCATGAAAATTGAATGAATGAAAATTATATTTTATGCCATTTCTGTCAAAAGCAAACAAATGCCATAATCGTCAATATACAAAATTTTCTCATCGTTCTCAATATTTTTTGTGATATCTTTCGATTTCATTCCTTCAAAATGTCAAGAATGGTTCTTTCATTTAAAAATGCATTGAACAATTTTTCATATTGATTGTCAATATCATCGATAAAATATAGTTTCTGCTCCACAAAAATGGAATTGTAAGTCATTTTGTGATAGAAAACGATTAATTCAAAATACAAATAAAATAATTTTTGTTTTGTTTCACGATTGATACGATAAATTCTATTTACAAATTGTTGTGAATATGATTTTTTTTTCTGTAACATTTGTGCGTTGAGTTTATAAAATTTCAAAATACAATACTCTGCGCATACCCATATATCTTATCTTATAGCTTCAATTACAAAATCAAACATAAAATATTATATGAAGATATCGCGTCGTAGAGTTTATGAGCTCTTCATATTAGAAATTATTGAACTTAAGAATAGAAACCTCTATAAATTTGAACTCTTTATTCAGCGGAAGTTATCAAATATTTTAAATTACTCTCAGTAGAAAAGACAAAGTGATTCTTACAATTCAAATATATCTCAGATAATATTAAGCATACACCATATGAATAGATAATTATCAGATAAGTTTTAAGGTAATATGAATTTCAATGAATTTTACATTCGATTTTAACAAATGTTGAAAAAGGGAATAGCAAATTTAATAATGGAGCAAAAATATTTTATCATTTCTATTTTAATCTAATTTTGGGTTACAGTACGCATTTTTCATAATCTAGTGAGTTTAATAAGACATTTCGGTTGTGAATAGAAAATCATAATAAAAGTTTTTTTTTGTTATTTTTTAATCATGAGACGTGATGATGGTAAATTTAATAAAATAGATTTGATCATTCGGATAAGAAAAAGGAGTTTTATATTCGTTTGTACATTTTGAGTATAAATAAACTCTATACAAAAATAGTTCAGCACTTTAATATTCTTTTTTGACATTTTCTGATATAATTAATGATAAAATTTCCACGCAATATCCATTTTTATGACTCTAGTTGATAAAACCTCTGATCATTCGTCAATTAATAATTAAATTATTTTTTTGGACTCATTCATTCTTTGTTCCTCCTCTTCTGCTCATTTTAATAAAACATTTATTATCTTTTAAAGACATTTAAATTGAAAAAGTCGAAAAGGTTTGCATTTAACCAAGATTGATTTAATGCAATGGCAGAGCATTCGTAATCTACTCATTGATTAAAATTTTATTGCCATAGGGACCGGCAAATTAATATGAAATTGATGACTTTTGGGTTCAATTTTATAAAATATTCAATTAAAAATATCTCTCTTCATTTTTCATGTATATTTTGGAAATATACATACAGAGTTTGATGTTTAATAAAAAATAACAAATTACATTTTTCCTCTTCCTGATAAATTATAATTTTTTTGCTCATTAAAAAGTTTTGCAAACATTTTAAAATAGATTTTAAAGCTTGCCATATTTTTCATTATTAATTGAGTTTAAATGAATCTTTATTCAATGAAATTCAATACTGCATCAAACACTACTGCATATCAAACGTTTCATAAAGTCACAAAAATGATGTTCACGCATATATGTCTGCATCCTCTACTCAAAAAGTATCAGAATTTTTGAAATTAATATTTATGTCACATTGTTTCACAATATAAAGTAGAATGTATACCATGCACATAAAGCAGAAATATTTCACTTAATATGTCTTATTTCAAACTTCAAAGGACACATATCTCTGTAGTTGCAGACATTTATTCACTATCTGACATAAACCATAGTTCATAAAGCAGTTAGTGAATGACAAGTTAAATTTTACGGCATTTGAACAAGAAATTTTTCCTTTCGTCTACCTACTGCCCTTTTACGCACTCGAATTTCATTTTACGTCTCTGCTTTTTTTTTCGTTCCTGTTATTGATGCCAGTATTTTATAGAAAACAAAATATTAAACAACAACATCAACAAAAAATGTAAAATGAAAAATTACTTTTTGAATCTCACATTCTTTTACATTTTCACAAAAAAAAGGTGTAGTTGAAAGGAAGAAAATCAAAGAGGGGAGGTGAAATGAAAAAATAAATAAAACAAAGAAAAAGCTTTTGATTTTTTTTTGCCAACATTTTCTATTTTATATTGAGGAAGGAATGAAAATTGAGGGAGAGCATATTTTAGGTCATTATCATCATTATCAACTAAACGACTTTTCTCGTTGTATTATTTTATTCTCTGTTGTCTTGTCAAGTGCCTTGACTGATGTTATAACTTTATTCCTTTCATATAAATCATTTTTGCATTCTCTATTTTTTCTTGCTTAATAAATGGGAAAACAAAAATGTCTATAGACATTAGACACATACAGAAAATGAAAAAGGATTGCATGGAAATGAAATTTATAAATTTCTTGGTGCTCCTTTTTTTCTCAAGAAATCAAGAGGATATAAAAAGGGTTATAAATTATAATTAATGACACTTAAACGAATTTTTTTCTCTGAAGTTGTCATGTACTTACCACCTGCCATCATCACATCATCATTCAAAAAATTCATATTGTTAATTTATTTTATTACGAATTTCAACAATCTCAAATTTAGTCAATTAATGTTATCAAATCTTGCAAATGCTTAAAACATTTCTTTAAAATATAAATAATTTCCTTTATGTGTATGTATGCCTTGTCTATGTATGTGTGTATATGCGTCTATAATTTTATAAATGTGTGATTGCTTTTATATGTGATATTATAGCATTTTATTTTTATTGATATCAAACAGATGCGTATATCATTCAGATTAATAATATTAATAATAAACAAAATACCTTCGGATCTTACATAAATCTCATTTAATATCCTTTTCCTTTCTATAACCTCTTTGAACGGAAGAATTCTTAACTCAATAAAAAGCAGAAAAATTTCTTCATTTTTTTGATTTAATAATATTAATAGATATAAAAAAAGGTAAAAGAAAATTCTTTTGTTATCGAAAAAAATATTTACATGCTCAAAATCATCTTCTTTCATTTCATTGATTTGCCTGCAAAAGAAGATCCTTTTTGTCATACATATCGATATATATTATTTATATTACCCATCTTTCTAGTTATCTGTTTTTTTTTTGTTATTACGAAATATCTCACCATAAAAAAAGTTCAAGCATTGGATATAAACATTTATAGTAAAAAATCAAAAAAGAAATGTTGGGATGGGGTTTGTGTTTGCAGAAAAACTTTTTTTTTTGAAATATTCTTTTAATGTTTTTTATCACATTTTTTTTTTATTTTTTTGGTACAATGGCTTAAAATATCTTACTATCTCTTCTATCTACCCCATGCATACATTATGTTCTATATAATATCTTTCAATACTTATTTTTGCTTTAGTTTTTATTGGTTTTTCAAGCTTTTGATATTTTTATTGTTTCAGTTTATTTTTGGAATCTTATATTTGTTGTTGTTGTTTTACAGCATTCAATCCTATCATATGAATCTCTAAACATATAGAAATCATGTCCCCATTTTTCAAGAACAAAAATATTTTACAGTTCGATTGATTATTTTGCGAAAACAAAACTCTTAAGCTTGAGAGGATAACATTTTTAAAAAATTTATATTTATATTTTTTTCTGAAGATTTTCTGATTTGACCATCTTACATCATTAAATTTATATTTAAGAGAGTTTTAAGGTTCATGAAATTGAAACTGTGGCAACATTAAAATTTAAGACAATCTACTCGTAGGCATAAAGTTAATCGATTTACAAAGAAGTATTCAAAAGTTGATTTATATTATTGAAGTATAAGGATGAAAAACTTTAGCAATATATAAACAAAGTAAAAAGGAACAAGGAAGGGAAAATATTCAGTAATTTTATCCATCATAATTTTTTCGATTTTTAAAAATTTTCCATTTCATTATAATAAAACTCATTGAATGCAATATTCTTTATTGGCATACCGATAAATTGGCAATGCTGTTATTATTACAACAAGCAAGGAGAAGAGAAAGAGAAAAAATTCTTAGTGAGGAATTGATTTTCAGATTTTCTCCTATTAGCATGAAAATTCCTTCTTTTGAATGAATGTTATTTATACAATGCCAATATCTCCATCGTTTTCCTCATTCCCTCTGCTCCTCACTATCTTTATACATTATCGTCTGTGATGTCTATCAAGAAAATTATGATGCATACAAATCAATATTTCTCTCTTCATTTCCGTTCATCTTACAACAATCTTTTATTCTCTTAGATGATAGTATTATTATTTCCATTTTTATTCTTTTTTCATTATGTGAAATTGCTTGGAAAATATTGATGCAAATAACAATTATTTTTTTTTATTTATGTAGGAATAGAACAAACTTTTTTTGTACTTTACTTTGGAATAATTTCTCTTAATTTATTCATTATTAAAATGAGGGTTTTCCTTCTCCATTAAAAAGAGTGTAATTTTTTCATTCATTTTATTTTGGTTTGAGAATAAATTTGTTTCAATACTTTTTTATTTAATTTAATTTTTTCTCAGTCATTCTTTCTTATTCATTTAATTTTAGTGGTCTAAGGTTATACTGAATTTTAAATTATGAATAAAAAACATGAAAATTTAATAAAAATAGGTTTATCTTCTGTTTTTATATCAATAATCAACATTAGTAAAAGAATTGAAATTGTTAGAAGTAGAAATGCATAAACCTTTAATTTTTTCATCGAGGATTAAATGGCATATTATTTAAAATAAATATTTTAATAATAATTTTACTATTGTATTATTATGCCGAGTTAATTATGACCTGGATTGTCTCGATATGCTCATTTATATTTTCCATTCAAATGCATTAATTGATCTTTCTGATATAATAATTATAAATATTTTAATAAAGTTTTATATTAATTGATAATTAATGGTGATTGAAAAAATATTCAAATTAAATGAAATTATAGTGCAACCTTACACCTTTATTAAATTAGTTTAAAACAATTTTTCCCTAACATTTGCTTTTAATTTTATTTATTTTCATTGAATGCCACAGTTTTATAATTTTACTTAATTTTAATTCAATTTGATTAAACATTATTTGGTTTTCTTTAACTTACCTATTTTTTTAACACCCACTGAGATAGTCGAGAATCAACGAACCCTATAAAAAGTCAGCAATAAAATTGAAAATTCATATTTAAGAGTAAATACAATTAACGAAAAAACTCTTTTACTCTTCCACTCATTAATTTATATCACAATTACAATGATGACCATAAAAAAAAGGTATGGGTTGTAGAGGACGTGAAACGTTGCAAAACTTATGTGATCAAATACCAGGAGATGCTCTTCTTTATAGTATGTTCAAAGTTGATGCGGACCCCATTAAATGTCCTATAAAAGGTACAAATGTCATTATTAATAAATTATTTGCTGAGAATCTTAATGTCCAACATTCACAGGTTCATATTTATTTACATATAATCGTGGTCATGGGGAATGCAAAAGTCCTGTGTCGAATGTTGAGAGCTGCACAGAGGATAGTAGAATGTTACTTAGTTTTCAAGCTTGTCCCGATGTTCCAGGAACTGAGAGTACAGGTATGAAAAAATGGTTGACTTTTAATTACTGTTAATTTTGAAGTCACTTACAAACTTTATCTAAAGCGCAAACTTTAATACTTTGAACTCACCAATAAGTACTCACGTGAAACACATTTAAAATTATTTTTCTTTACGTAGTTGAGGAATTGACGTGTTTGGCAACATGGAAAGACGGTAATGCACGCTTTTTAGTTGGTCTCATATCACATAATCATGCCACATCAAACGAAGAACGATATCGATGTTTCGTGTATGAGAAAATAAGCGGCAAACGCGGTAAATTTTCTTTTTTTTTCAATTTTCTATCTCGGAAAAATTGCATGTTGAACTATAAAAATCCATAAGGATTTTTTAATGTACAAGTACGAGAAAAAAAATTATATAAAAATGGAATTAAAATAAATTTATATTTTTTCTCCTCATTTCCCCAATCTACTTTGCAATGTTGTACAGACGATTTGCCGAAAGATGCTGAATATAAGTTAGCTCAATCTGGTGATGCAACGTGCAATGGACTGGAAAGTGCTGAAGTGAGTTTTTAATGCCTTTTCCTGTTGTGTGTGTGTAGAAAAATGCCAGTAGAAAGATGGGAAAAAAGTTTTTATTTCTTTTTTCCTTCACATCGCCTTTTCTCTCATTTCATTGCTGTTGATAGGGTGGAATTTAAAGAGAACAGAAAAGTATCTGCATTATATTGAATTCCTCTTCTTCTTCTTACATTTATACTGAATTTGTTGTTTTTCTCATCTTTAAAATAAATTTCATTAAGGTTATTTTTCCCTTTTTAAAAAAAAGAAATTTAATTTCATAAGTAGATTTTTTAATGAAATTGTGATGATTTTATGAGGTTAATAAATATATAAAATAAACATCTTAGTTCGAAATAAATGTTGTAGCTAATGCAGTTGTAAGCAGAATTTTTCCTTTGGAAAAGAACCTGAAACTAATGATTTAAAATACCTGCGAAGGAAATTTTAGACTTAAAGAAGGGATTGAATCTTTCCTACTTTTTATTACAAAAAATAAGAGAAACTTTCATCATTCATAAAGAGGATTAAAATTTTTATTCAAGTTGTTTTCTCAATATTTTTCCTTTTTTCATTTCCTCTTTTTTTACTCTGTTTATAATTTATAGGTTGGGTCACGTATAATGACACTAAGGAAAGCACCTCCTGTTGAGCGCTGTGATTTTCCATCATGGATCAGGCATCAGAAGCATTGGCATACGCTTTCAGGAAGTGTTACTTACACATTTCATCAAAAGTAAGTAAAAAAGAGGCACCCAAGAGGTTTCAATTAATGAATGGCTATAAATTTCCATTCTGCATGTGTCTCTTCTTTATTAAAGAAGTAAAAAACTCATTTTTGTTTTATTTTTATTCCATAGAAAAGCGAGAGAAAATTTCATTTAATGAATTTGCTTCCAATCACCCTGTTTATGAATTTTACTCACGAGCTATTTTTGTTCCGGTCTTTTTCTCCACAAAGCTTTATTCTTCCTGACAAAAAAATTTCTTGTTTATACACTTTTAGATATAAAATGAAAAAAAGTAATAAAATTCCATTATGACTTTGTTCCACTCTATTCTCCTAGTTAAAATTGAGGAGGTGGGCTGGTTCTTCAAAATTAACTGATTTATAAATTTCCTTATAAGCTATATATGATGTTTTCATGAAAATAAGTACACAACCCTGTGTTAAACTAGTTTTAATTCATATTTTTGTCAGTGGAAATTCATATTCATTTCCATCCCCCTTTGATTCTCATTCATTGTACCCGAGAAAAAACTTTCCATACCAATTCCGATGCCACTTCCAAACTGGAAAATATTTTCGTCTTTAATGGATTGCAAAACTCTCCACTAACTGTTGTTACTACTTTTTTTTTTCATTTATGTATGAACAGGAACATCTATAGTACAATAACATGCCAAAACACTATGTTCATTCATTCAGTTTTTGTTCTCTCGTTCTGTTTCAGTGATGGATCGATGCACATAGTTAAGCAGAATGGATATTTAGAAACGAGAGTACTCTGCGAGCAAATCAATAAACAGACGCCGAATGAAATGATGGCAGTTGTTGAAAAAACTACTGGATGGTAAAAAAAAATGTTAAACATTTTAATAAATTTTTACTGAATGATTTTTTGTGTGTTTTCCTTTTTACTCTTCATCCTCATCCAATTTACAGCAAGTCAAGATTTGTGTGTGTAATGTTTTATCGTCGTAGTCCACATGTAGCAGAACTACAGATGGGTATTCCGACGGACCGATTAGAACATGCTTGCGCAATGAATCATTCTGATACATCACGATTGCCATTCATTACACTTTTGGGTAATTGATTATCTTTTATTTAAATAAATATGTATTTTCCTTTTAAAATTAAATGATTTATTCATACACAATAGTTAAATGAGTAGCATCGAAATGAATTTTAAAACGGATTCATTGAAATTTATTAGAACTTTTCTAAGATTCGATTTTACTTGAACGATCGTATCCTTTAATAATATAATATATAATGCATCAATAATAAATTTTAATTCACTCAAGTATACACAGCTAAAGTTAAATTGATCTTAAGATGCAATTTCATGATTGTGATTTCATTTATTCGGCGCATAAAACTGCATTTATTGAATTGATTTTAAAAAAAAAAATTGTTAAGAAAAATATTACAAGAACAAATAAACTGTTTTGTCTTACTACAGTTTGCGAATTGTCATATCCTCTTCTATCATTTTCAATTTCTTTTTTTTTTTACAAAATAAACTTTAAAACCATAAATTTACTTTAGGGCAATTACAAAGTTTTTTCTTCAATTTTCAGAAAGTAAAAAGTAGGGAACGAAAAATTAAATGAAATGATAATAAAGAGATGAAAAACTCTAATGACGCTGCAATGAAAAATATTAAAAAGTTCAAAAGCTTCTTGTTGCTGTAGAATGCTTTCTGTCTGTCTTTATATTTTACCCTCAATGACAAATGAATCCGCTTTATTTTCAATGGTACTTTAAAAGTCATTTTTTATAATTATTAATATCTCCACTTCTTCTTTCTATTCCATTTCTCTTGCGATCTTTTTTCTTGACATCAAAATGATGATGGAAAAATTCTAGCATCAAATCCCGATCCAGAAATTTGTCCACTTGATGGCTCTTATACAATACGAGGACTTATAAGTCCACCATATAGCACTTCACGTCATAAAAGAAACCATAATTCAAAGCTACACAACAATCATCATCATCTTCTTCATGATTTATCATCGTTAGACGGTAGCAGTAATATCTTTAGCAGCAGCATCAGTAGAATAGCAGCGAATAACAATTTTAAAGCACATACGTCATTGAGCTTTAGGAATGAAGACGATTCACTTAAAAGTTGGCATTTAAATGATCGTAATAAATCATTGCGACAACGACGTTCTCCCGTGCAACTGCAGCAGAAAAATGAACAACATCTACGTAAAATAGAATTGAATGAATCTGACAGTGAAAATTCAATTGAAATTGCACCAAGAAATGCATTCATTGATGTGTCAGACGATGGAAGTGATGTGACTGACATCAATAACGATGAAGTCATTAAATTGGTTCGCAATAAGCGCAATAATAATGATAATCTAGATAAAATAAGTAATGGCTTAGATATAATGTCAAATGATGGAATGAAAGCCAATAGCAATGACCCATCACGAAGTCGACGTGATACAACAATAAATTGTGGTAGCAGTGTAAATACAAAGTCGAGACAATTGAACATTGGATGTTCCGTTGAAAATAAAATTGATGTCTCACCACAATGCATTGGCAATGATGATATGGAAGAAGGTAAGATATGTAGCGAGAGAGATTGTTTGAATCTAGAAAATTGGATATTCGAACTTTTTCTTTTGTTTTCATATTCACATTTATTTTGATCATATATTTGTCTGTATGTGTATAACCACTCCAAAGACACGTTGATTAATTGACATACAGCGTTTGGTATGTTCATTTATTTTAATATTTTTTTTTTCTTCTGTCTGTTCTGTATCATCGAAAATATTTCTATAGAGTATACCTGTCATGGTTCCTGGCGTGAAAATCAAACAACTTTCATTATTGCACGACACACAAAATATGTTGTGTGCATTAGCTTTAAGCAATTAACGACTGATACAGCTCAATTATATATTGGTGATTCATGCTTTCGCGAGAATCAGAGCCCGGAAGTTTTGGCAGAGCGTCAATATTCTTTAGCAAATCTAACCAATGTTGGACGTAAGTACAACAAAAAAAAAAAAAATTATGATCCATTTGAAGTATCTTTAAAAATAAAAACATCTACCATATTTTTATCTTATTGGTACAGATCAATGCGGGGACATCAATTCTTCCATTAAACTTAAATTTAATTGGCATATATTAAGCTTAGCATTTATACCATGGTTATCAATGTACTTCAAAATAATCAGTTGATTTGTTTCGTACTATTATCATTAAAACAGCAATTATGATGAAACGAGAGAATGAGTTTTTTTTTTGGTATATGTAAAACCAAAGAGAATAATGTGCTATATGAATGCTAGACATACTGCAAAGAAAATGAAAGAAAGATTATGTTGATTCTTTTTTATTAAAAGCAGAACAATGAAAAAATTTTGTATATATGAAATGACGACTATTGAGTCATTGACAAGTTAATAATGAATACAAAAGTGAAGTAAATTTGTTTAAACTGTTTTTTATATGTCAAAAATGAAGAAAAGAAATTACATTTTAAGAGATTAAAAATATGGAAAAGTGATATATTTGAGGTAATATGAAAATAATAAAGAATATGTAGTTTAGAAAGAAACATTTAAAATGAAAGTGTGTAGTGGATGATAAAAGGAAACTAGATAATTAAAGAAAAAGTACTTAAGGACATTAGGTGTAAAAAAATTATCGATATTTTCTTCATGAAATTACATTTAATGGAAAATTGTGTCATAAAGCAACAGGAACCACAAGAGTGAGCAGAAAAATTTATGTTTAGCAGAAAAAAAAATTAATTTTCAAATGGATGTCAAGGGATGTACACAAAATGAACACATAATTTCTTCTATGTTTTGATGTAATTAAAATTACTGCAATTCAGTTGATTTTAATGTTAATGTGTTGCCATATAAGAGTCAAATGGAAGTTTGTTGCTTCTGTTTGTTACAAGGTCGAGATACTTAGGTAATAACGAAAGTAATTTTATTTGCTTAAATATCTACGTTTACTATCCCTAAGTGACTCTATAGAATTTCGTTTTTTTTGTTCCGAGGTAAAAATTGATCGATTAAAATTAAATAAAAAGAAAATTACCTTTTTTTTAAGAAGTTTAATCATTTTAATAGGATTTTTATTTCATATCCGTACTTAAGATTTGGTTGTTAATTGAAAATCGTACTTAAAAATTGGTGTATCTAAAACATCTATCCCAATATCCTAGCAGTTTATGCCCTTGGGGTGTCAAGTAAGATCTTGAGCTATTATTAAAGTGTCAAAAAATAAATATTTTTTTGCCCTTTATCCTGTAATTTTGTCATTGAAATGCTTCATCTAATCAAAAACACTTTTCACTAATGACCTAAAAGTTGTTCTCTGTATTTCATTTAATTTAAAGCAACTTCATCTCTTTATACTTAGAAAAAAGATTGTAAACTTCATAAAAATTATCCCTTACTTATTTTTCATGTAAGTAAAACTATAAGAAATTAAAACAAAAAAAGTTTAATTTTTCTACTTCTTCTTAGCAATAGACAACAAATTAAATCATCGAATCATAAAGAGATAAAAATTGATATTGAATTGTTAAATAGAAAATAAATGCTTGATGAATAAATGAAAATTATAATAATTATTCATGATACGACGAAATCGAATTGGTGATACTAGAAAATATTTTGCAAGTATATAAATAATGATAATTACACAGATGAAACCGTAAGGCTTTCATGATAAAAGAAAAGAAAAATGTAAAAAAATGTAATTAAAATAATTTTATATTCTGATCAGAATTTTAAAATATTTCTGAAGGGGCAAACCTCAATTCATTGTCGATTGTGTAATTAAATTAAAATTTTCAATAATTTTCTATCGAATTTAATGTAATTATTGCAAAAGATGAAAAGAGTTTTAAAGTTGAAATTTGAATTTTAAAGTATTGAGGTGATAACAACACCTACAATTTTAATTCGAATTTCACTATTGAAACTCTTTTTTATTACACCAAATCTGTTAATTAGAGCAAAAGTTAAAAGATGATTCTCATAAAGTGAATAAATTCATACTAAGTTATGAATGATCAGGAAAAAATCACAACTTAAGTATGATTTTATTTGATTTCATAAGAATAATAAATTGTTATTGTTATCATTATAAGAAAAGTCAATTCAATGCCTAGTAAAAGAACTTTTTGATATATTAAGCAAAAAAAATTAAATGGTTATAATCATTTTAGATAGCAAAAGTGAAATAAATTAAAGCTTATTTTCAGAAAATCGAAAGATTCTGATTGGAATATAATCTTAATTTTTAATAATTAAGGATAAAGAATAAACAAATAATTGTAAAAATTTTGAGTAAGAAAATAAACGGTTGTAAAAAAGTTATTACTGATTATTAAAGAATGATGATTAATATTCTATAAATCAATAGAAAAAATGGTGTTTACTTTTAATAAATTTGAAAAAAAATTTCAGCATTTGATCCTGATCAGTCCATGTTTTTCTATGCATACAAAAAATTTCAAGTAACAACAACCTAGTCACAATAGAAAAAATGCAAAATGGTTGCGAATTTAGCTTCAGGATCTACAAATGATATGCCCAGTTGGCAGGGAAAGAAGCAGAAGAAAAAATAAGTTAAAATTTTCTACACATTTATGTACAAACACAATTCATGAACATAAGCCGGTTGGAAAAAATTTCATTCATTTCATTCAACTTTATTATACCCTCATTCACTTGATTTATTTATTCACGTATATTGCTTTAAATAAAAAGCTAATTTGCCTTCATCAATTAAAGCTTTCAGATCCATTCCAGCAAAAAATAAATAAATATAAATAATTTTTTTTTCAAGGTTTCTTCACTTTGATGTATCATCATAAGTCTTCTTATCAAAAATATCCAGCACAAAAGTTAATGACGTTATGATTCTATGTATTCGACTGACTTTTTGAAATGTTAACTTATATGTTAAATATTGATCTTTCGAAGGTTATTAAACGAAACTCTATATCTTGTTATTTTGATGTTTCAGAATTTTACGAAATAAAGTTTTGCTGATTAATTTTAACTTGTTTTAAGAAATGAATGGTTTGAGCATATAACTACAGTCTACAATTTCAATTGCAGATAAAAATGATCTAGACAACATCAATCATAATTGTTTAATGAACAGCCAAAAACTGCATAAAGTAACCATGTCTGGCGTTGCTTTATAGAAAAAAAGAAACAAAAAAAAAATAATCCACACAACTTTCCTTTCAAACAATGATGAAGAAAAATATAAAAAATATAAAAAAGTTAATTGAAATCGCGCAGATGAAAGGAACTGCAAAATTAAATGCTTTCAATTGTTGTAACAAGATGAGAAATGAATAAAATACAGATTCTTTTGCTTCTCTCTCATTCTCTCATTTTCCTCCTTTTTTATTGTGTTGTTTCGTGTAAGCACATTTGACCTCTGGTTACGTTTTCTTTCATTTCTCTCAAACATTTTCATTTCAAATTACATTTTCTGTCTTAATTTTTTTTATCTCTCCATTATAAAAAAGCATAAAAATTGTTTTTGTTTAAAGTTAATTCATCGTACTTAAAGAGAAACAACTGTTCATTCATTCCTTTTCATCAAAAACATGAGCGAATTATTTACTTTTTTTACAATGTTTTTGCAATGTAAAAAAGATAATTTTCCCTCTGTGTATTTTCTCTTTATAAAACGTGAATCATTTTTATGCGAATTTTACATCACAATCGGAACTGTTTGCATTCTTAATTTGATTATTTCGAATATTTTGATTAATATTGAAGGATTTTTCCATATTTCCATTGAATTTCTGATACAAAATCAATAAAACTTGACACAAATTTCAATCAATCAGGATCTATCGCCATAGAGAATATACATTTTTCAATTATTGTTACAATCACGAATTCAGTCACCAAAACCTTCGATATTATTTAATTGAATTTCGCGATTCATTGGATAAAGGATTTACTTTTTCATTTCGTGACGCAAAATTTTGATTTTTTATTTTTGATGACGAAAGAATGACGGAAATGTTTTAATAAATTCTCCAAATTATCGTTACTTTACATTGTAATACCAGAGCTCTCAATTGGCTTATTTGAAGTCATAGCATTTTACCACGTTTTCCAAAAACACTTTCACCAAAATATCAATATAAACGGTGACCAAAATACTATCTGTTTGGATCAGGAGTATAGCAAGGCTCTATGAAGCCTGATCTTTGAAATAACATCTCAATAAGTAATTCCAATTTTTTTCCTAACACTCGATATCCTTACAACGTTTATCTGTTGGATCTGTGTTCTGTTGGTCTCTTTGCTCTCACTTCCTTTGACATTTCTGAATCAAAAGAAGAAAACAGACAGTTATAATACAACAAGAATGAATATATTACCTCATTATATATTTAAAAAGCAGAAATATTCCTTATGTCCGTATAACACAAGAATAAAGGAGAGAGAGAGAGGAAAAAAGAAGAACAGAAAGTATTACATTCATCTTCACTTAACTTTACTTCAGTTATTAAAGAACTTCTTTATGTCTTAGGTGCAAGAATATAATAAAAGTCAAAAGAATTGTGTGCAATGATAAGCGCAAAGTACAGAAAATGGATTATTTTTAAATGAGAAACAGCATCAGCATGAAGAAAAAAATACCACAATAGCAGTCCTTAGTTGTCTCCATAAATTGTGTGAGAGAAAAGTAAAGAAGTGATATAAAAGGAATAATAATAACAATAATAAAAGTAATAGTCAGGAAGAACAAAAAAAATGCAGTAAACTTTTTTCTCATCTCTTTCACATTTCACCTTACTAACTTGATACATATTTTAAGTGCATTTTTCTTACAGAACTTTTATGCCTGAATATTCACTTTATCTGGTGCTATTGGCTGGTCTTAACAACCATTTTCATCGCAGTCATACTTACTTGCAGTCAAAAATGCGCTCTAGAAGTTTATCAGCTAAAGTTTTTGATAACATCAGCAACAATTATTTGCTTCTCAATTGAAAGAATTTTTGAAACTAAACACCAAACTATCTCAACTTCCATTTCTTTTGCTAACACAAGCATCTCTTCATGTATATTCATAAAAGACGAGAAAGAAGATATCACAACTTAGAACCTATTAAACCATTGAAGAGTCAAAAAGCAAGAATAAAATGAAGGAAAAGTTTATATCGTGCATGCCCTTGCATAAACTTTGCAATCTCAAGTGAAAATTGTAAAATGTTTAAGATAGAAAACTTGTAAACATTGTAAATAATTAATGAAGAGAAGAGAAAGAAGGAATAAAAATGAATAAAACAAGAACTTGTGGTTGAAGACTTTTTACTTTCTTCTCCTTAAAAAATTTTATTTTGCGCCATTTATGGATATTTTAAGCTAGGTTTATGCGCTTTAGTTTTTTTATATATTTTGCAAAAAGAATAAAATTTTGGACTCTTTTCTAGAAAAAATAATTCCAAAAGATTATAAACTTCTGTCTTTTGGAAAGTCCTTCTGATTGATTCATTTAAGTATAAAACTCTTTGAGTGACGAATCCTTGAACATTTTTACTGCATTTTATATCATTGAATACTTCTACATGACTTTAGATTTTCTAAGATATCTTTAGTGGTTTACAGAATAATATATGAATATTATTTCAAAGCATTTTTTGAAAGTTACTTGACAAAGATGCTTAAAGAAAATTGTAGCATAAGTATAAGGAGAAGAAAAAGTTTTATTGGACATCAATAAAAAGAAAAGTTTTGAAAATTTAAGTTAAAATTTTATTAAATCTTAAATATTGATGAGTTGAGGTTTGGAAATAAATTGACATTTGAGTTTTCTTTGTGCAAAAATTTTATAATTTTAAAAATTTAATTATTAATGCCAAATTTATCATCCGTTTTTGATATTTGATTCTATTTTCTGCATTGCTATTTGCTTATGACAATCATCAAATATCACAAAGCATTTTCTGTTTGTTACAATGACTAAATATTTTATGGCAGTTGCGCTTTTTATTTTCACCATAAGAATTGCTTACCACGAGCTATAATCGATATTATTTTATTTAAAATAACTCAAAGCGTGCCAATTTTTTTCCGCATTTTAGTTATAATGGCATGAAGGGATATGTTTTATAGACAATTAATTTTTTGGACTCGATTTTTTGACGGGTAAAACATGTAAATGTTTAATTTACTGCTTTTGGATATGAGCTTTCAGGTGCAAAGAATTGAACTAATTGAACTTTAAGGGTTATTTTGGATTTTATTCTTGATATGTTCTCATCACAAAATATGATGAGTCTATAATAGTTGGAAAAATCTTATCAAATGCGCAATAAAAATTAATCAACCTACTTCACAACTTGTTTTTTTTTTCCTGTAAGTCCCCATGCTCTTTTTTGGCATAATATCAATTATCAAATTTAATTTAGTCAACTTTTTTTTTCGCATTCATATTCACATTCACCTATGAATATATTCACATAACTCTCAACATGTATGCCTGGTTGAGAGTGTAACGAGTATGAGTTTACAGACATTTTGAGAGTAATGTTATTTTTTAATTAATTTAACAGTGAAAACATTTTTAACTTCACAATGTTGATGTCCCTTTTATTATACAATTTTTTTTTTATGTTCTGAAAGAAAGAAAGAAACAAACAAACAAACAAAGAGGATATGGAGGAAAAAAACGCAATCATATTTCCTGTCTCCAGTTCAACAATTTCAATATACAAACAAACAAACAAATGAACGCGATTTCTTTTCTCTTTCTGTTTCATTTGCCATTTCATGTCGTTGTAGTCGATGTTGTAGAGGAGTAGAGAGTGGAAAATTTAAAAGTCATGAATATGAATGAAAAATGGAAATCATAAATCATATAACATTTCCCCATTTATTTTATGTCCTTATTTTAATAATCAACGGTATCAGCTATCTATAGTGTTTGAATGTGAATCTGTTTGTAATCTATCCCGTATATTTATGCATGTAGATGTGAATACAATACCATCAATGAAAGAAAATTCAGGACTGAGCACTCTACCAGATTAAAAAAAAATTTTAAATAAATAATGTCGAAATCTTCTGATAACTTTTCAGTGTCATAACCCTGACAGAGAGTAAAATAAAAAAGAGAGATGGAGATACAATGACAACAGAAAAACCATTAATTTTTTATGAAAAATTAATAAAATATCAGAGTGGAATTATTTGCTGATTGAACAGACACACCATAACTGAAGTAATGTCCTTTAGAGTACATCCATATAGTGAAATGCAGATCAAGTTACATATACATATGGAAATTTTTTAATGAAGTTTTCCTACCAAATGGGATTTTTTGTGTTGATAACTAACGAAATAATATTTTTATTCGCTCTATTAAGCAACTCCATTTTCATTGAACATTGTATATAGAAAGAATGCTATGTTATAAGTTCAGAGATTATTTGTCCAGACTTCGTTTTGAATTTTAAGTCCTGAAAATCAAATTCACGTGATTCTTATAAATCCAGTTACAAATTGTATATTGGAATTAAGTTCCATGCTTTTATGACATTGAAATCTAAATACTTATTTCTACGTTTTTCATAAATGCAAGATGATTTGGAGTCAAAAAAGCTAATCATTGAAAATTGACTGCAAATGATGTTTTTAAGTTCAGGTACAGTTTGTAACTTGATTTATAATCCTGAACTTATAACTTTCTGTGCAAGATTTTTGTATCTGAGCTTAAAACCCAGCATCTTGTCTTCATTATTTCACTTAAGCAGAATGACCATCGGAAATGACAACAAAACATGAACTTATGTAACGCTGTTAATTTTGACTCCATAAAAATTACTCACTTTCAAAAATTATGACAATTATGATAAAGATTCATATCATAATGCCACACAACCGCAAACTGCTGAATATTCATTCAAATTGATTTATGACATTTAACATCATCTGCATTTAGTAAAATTAAGCAAACAAAACACGTCCATTAGATATGGTGCTAAAAATGTATGTAGTTCTCAAAAAAAGAACAAGTTTTTTTGGTGGATGTACACATCAACTCTTTTTCTGCTTAAATTATATCAGACATTAATTTTTATGTGTACATTCACCGTGTCTCTGTGTTTATCATCATGGTCGCTTTGTTTACATTTTTTTATAGTCTGTGATAACATTTTTAAGTAGCATAAATTTCTTTTGAATTTATGTAAACCTGAATATGTTAAAAAATTAATTAAATTGATTTTTAAGGCAAGAATGATAATTACAGTAATTTTAAAACCAGCAAGAATGTTTTAGTGAAATTTGCTCTATTTTTTTTATTAATTTGTTTATGATGCAAGTTTATATGCTCCTGACATAAAAAGAACATCAAAAAATGGATTTTATCATCAAGACTCATGCAATGAAAATGTAGTGCGTATTTGTGAATATATGCCCAAAATGAATTTTAAGACTTTTTTACTACAAAAACTAGCTTCAAAAAATCTTTGACAAACTACCAATGGCTCTGTTATTATTTGCACGACTCTATATTGCATGCGAAATGTCAAAAATTTTGCGACTGCTAAATGGAAAAGACATGTTTGGTCTAGAAAAATAATGAAAGAAATTAAAATTTATGTATGAATGTGTGAGTTTATTCTAATTCAATTAATTTCTACAATTTTTCAAAAGAGGAAAAACCTCCTTGCATGCCTTTGCTCCATAATATTATAATGTGTAATTTGTTTGATTATGCGGGCTGCTGATTTCAAACAACTTTTTTCCACCCTCTGCTGACATGAAAAAAAAATATTCAGATGATGTTAATAAACTTGCTGAAATTACTCGGACATATTTTTCAGGTCACACATGAGTCAATGTTTGTCATCAAACTTTTTTCTCACTCAAAAATTTTTATGAAACAGAGCACTTTTGTTGTTTGCATTACACTGATTCGAATGTAACTTTTTTAGTCATGCTTGACAGTATGGGATGATGTAATAAAAATTAGTTTTTTTAAAGTAAAATTGTTTATTTGTATCGAATTTGTATTTATGTTGTAAGAGTATGATACAAATGCTAAGAAATATCTTTTATTTAATTAATTTATATAAAAAATACTAAGCACAGAAAAATTGTGCACCGCATATAATTTGGGCATATAATTTTAGGGCAGTTAATCCTGGAGAAATTGATTTAAGTAGTTGAATGATTCCCATTTTTTAAGATGAATATATTCTATGCCTTGATGTTTTCGTATTAAACAATTAAATCATTTATCTGATTTAATTTCTGGAATATTTTTTTTTATATTTTAATAATTCTCAGTAGTGTCAATACGTTCATGAATAAAGGAATTATTCTTCAAGTGAAAATTAACTGTTGAGATTCAAATTTAAAAAGATTCCAAGCATAAGATGTTTAACCAATTTACATGCTTGATAGCAGTTGCTGTATCAATTTTAGGTAAATAAGTATATAAGAGAAATTTTATTCAAATGAATTAATTAAATCGTTTTAATTGTTTAAGGAAATGGATTGATAATTATAAGTTTTGTGGCTAATAAAAAATCATTAAATACTTTTACATCTTTAGTAATCAATATTCTATTCATTGATCTCATTTATGCAATTTTCACGTTTACTGGAATTATTCTTAAAGATGTAAGTATCAGACAAAATATAATTGAAACTTTTTTTTTTATATAATTTGATCAATTAATAACTTTCAGACCATCCCCGATAAAAAATTTTTTGGTTTATTTGAAGAATTATTTCAAGCTAGTTCCCGTACTATGGTTTTAATATCGCTGATAATTTTATCATTCTATGTGATATTCTCATCAGTTCAGAATGTGTTGATTGAAACTATTGTGTCAAAAGAGAACATATTCATAATCATTTTCATGATGTGGTCAATAATAATTGGAATGAATTGTGTGTATCAAAAAAAAATCATCGACTTTTTAACATGCATCCCCAAAAACTACATGTTTGCTTTTAACCGACACTTGGATTTAATCCTATTTGAGATTCTGATATTTCAACAATGTATAATATTATACCTCCAAGAAAAACGAAAAAATGCCAAAATGAGTTTTGTTCAAACTGAAATATTCTATATCCACAACAGTGTTTCGATTCAAAACATTCCAACACATTTTAATGATATGAATAAGTCACTAAGATATCTTACGTATACTCTGACGATGTCTTTCATCATTTTCTGGCTTCCATTTTTCATTACTCAATTTTTATTCTTAGTTGATGAATCAATTGTCACGCATGACACACTAGTGCAATTACATTTCTTTGGAAGTATGAAAGGAGTTGTTACTCCAATTGCAATTTTGATTATTTATGCTAAGAGTAGGTATCTGGTTTACAAAGTAATTTATAAATTAACAGGATGGGAAATACAATTTGATTGATTTGACAAGATTATAAATTTTTAAGCATCGCTTCTAAACAGATTTATTAAATAGAAAATTAAGTGTATAAAACCATAAATAATCACTGGGAAAATGAGCAAAAACACAATAGAAATACTAAAAATTAGCTGCTGACTAAATCGAGATATTCCACATTGTGATTTAGCACCATCGATAAAAGGTTGAACACAACTTTTGAATGTGTCTTGATTAAACATTACATCGAATGCATAGCATTTGTTAGCTGTCTCGTTTTCCATTAATACATCCATTATGCATTTGATTAATTTTGGATTTTTCGCATGTTGACTTTTGACTATGAGATGAATTTTTCCATAGATCATTTCATCAACAATTGATTTTATCTTTGGTTTAAGTGCAACAGCTGCAAAACCAATTGTCAAGCAGCAAACAGAAGTCAGCACAAAAATTTGACAAAATCTGAAGAAAATTCATGAAATCAATAAGAACGATTAGTTTACAAGATAGGAAATGCTCACTTCATTTTTACTGGAATTTCTATAGATTTATATGGATATACAAAAATAAAATATATAAGACAAACTTAAAAATTTTCGAATTATTAAGTAGTTGAAAAAAATATATTTTAAAACAAAGCCTGTTTATTTTTGGATGATTAAATTAAGAATTCGTCATTAAATTACAAATAAATTTACATGAGTTATGCTGAATGTCTCATTATTTCAACGATTCAACGAACTTAAATTTTAAAATTTACACAGTAATAAAATATCAGTGAGACAAGAGTATTATAATTCAAAATGTTAGAAATAATCAACATTATTTCGCTAATATTTTCAGTAGTTTCTGTTGCAGGTAACAAGTCAATTCCATAAATTTAAAATAAATTATTTAAAATTAAAAATTAAATTTAGGGAATATGTTTCTTGTTTTGAGTATCTTGAGAAATTTTGAAACAAGAAATCCATTTGGATCTTTTATTATCAACTTGAGTATTGCTGATATATTTTCTGGAGTTTTTGTGCAGTTGCATGTGCTCCTTGAGAAGGTAGATCTGAATTTTATCTGATTAATATTTTTTATCATACTTTATTAAACTTTTAGTTTAACATTGAAATGAACAACAGTTCATTTTTCTTCAAGGCACTTGAAACTTCATCTCGCTCGATAACGTTAATGTTCCTTGTAGTTCTATCGTTTTACTTGATATTTTCCTTAATAAGTCAAGTAACAGTTGAAAAGTATTTTACACCTGAAGATACATTTATTATTATTTTCATCATTTGGTCATTAATTGGTGGGATTCATTTGGTTTATCATAAAATCAAGCCAAAATGCATAGTTTATGATGATAAATTTTCAAATAATGACTTTTTTGATATGATTTTTACAGTTATACTATTATTTCAACTTTTGACTGCATTTTATCTGAAATATAAACAGAATCTTATCAGATATAACGTCACAGATGAAACTGTTAACAGATATAACAATTTTGGACTATCACATCTTAGTAGTCCTGCTTTCATATGCTACACTGATAGGTCAATGAAATCATTTATTAAGCTCCAGTCGATTCTGTTTATTATTTTCTGGTTACCTTACTTTATCACTATAGTACTCATTTTCAATGGAGTTAATTGGGACTATATACATAATGTTTCAACATTCACGTACTTTCTTGGTACAATGAAAGGTTTTGCTGCTTGTATTGGAACCTTTATCGTGTATCCAGATAGCAGAATGATTTTACAAAATATAAAAGAAACTATATTGACCATAAGAGATTAAGGATATGAATTTTATAAGATAAATAAAATTGGAACCAATTTTAAAGTCAATTTTATAAGCTACTTTAATTTAAATCTTACTTTTCCTAATTATTAAAGTGATTATGAAATCAGAAAAAAAATCTTCCAAAAAGTTATTTAACATTTAATTTAGATAAGTGAAGATTTTTTTTGGCAGCAGGAAGCATCTGTAATTAGTAAACAGAAAATTTATATTTATGCTTATATGAATGGAAAAGTGATAAAAAATACGGAATTTAGGGAATTGCATTAAAATGTTTTGTGTAGCATGCTGGCAGAAATTTAAAAATTTTTATTCTAGCTAGCAGCAATGACTATGATACAGTAGCATGTACATATACTGTCGAGATATTTTGGTAGTTTAAATTGTTGGGACGAGTTGTAATTCTAAATGCTCCTAATTTAAATATTTCGAAGCGTCATACAAAAAGACATCTACACTAGCATATAAAACTTATTAAAGAGTTTGTTCGCATTCTAAGGATATTTGCACCGTGCTTAATCTGATTGTGAATCTTAAAAAAAATTACCAAAGTTCAAACTTAAAACTTGTCAATACTGAAAAACAGCTGAAGCTTTGAATTTCATATTTTCTAGATTTTCAGAATACACACAAGTTATGCGGAGTGAATATGACAAAATATTTCTTCTTCCTTCTCTCATTTGGTTTTTCAAAAACAATAAAATCTTAATATGTGACGCAATTCCGCATCATGTATACGAATATAGTAAAAAAGACAATAATCATAATACATTCACATTTTCCTATATCTATTTAGTATTTTTCTATCTTCCTTACTTCTTACCGCACTAAAATTTTGCCTTATAGCAATAAAATCACAAAACTTTTACTTACAGTTAAAGGCACATTCCGTTTACTCACAATCTTCTTCATACTTCCTTCATACTCTTTGTCACCATGTTGTATTCGATATCGTACAGCACATTTCTATTCCTCCTTTTTCATGCACATTTTGCTTTGCATATTATTTTATATAAAATGCAAGAAAGATTTGAAAAGTTGTGTGCTCAGAAATATGTATTGCAAATTATCAACAAATTGTTTTAAAAAGATATTATAGTTTTCTTCAAAACTTTGTTACATTCCATAAATACTGCTGCAATTTTTCCTTTTTAATTCTTTTTGAAAATTCTTAAATATTGTTATCTAACTGCAAAAGGAAATACATGAAATAGAAGAAAGTTTTGCGAAAACTTTTGATATCCTTTTCGAATGGAAATGGAAGTAAGTACGTATTTACAGAATTATGGTCATTTGAATATGAATAAGATGAGGTTCTTACTTTAAATGTACAAAAGGAAAATTTAAAAAAAATTATTTGTATTAAACGAACTCTTGATTTTGTTGATGAACTAATATTATATTTCATTTAAGTTAAATTTCAAAACCTTGGGTTCTAGTAATGAAAATTGTACCAAATTAAATTACATAGTTTATCAACAACGTGATCCTCAGAGCAATCCTATTTTATTATAATTCAATACATTATTATCGAATATAATTAGACAAGAGTTTTTATTATCGAAAACGTAATTAAAATTCAAAAGATGAGAATTTTCATTGAGAATTAAATTTTCATCATTTTACAATTTGTCTAATTATGCTTCGAGATATGTTCAAACACAATTTCGCTACCTCTCTTTCCGTTCTTCATTTCGCTTCGACGAAGAATTAGGAATTCATTTCATCTAATGAAAATTTTCATGTAAGTGTATAAGTCATGTCTTATCAATCTGTAGAATATATTATAACTTCATATAAAACTTAAATAATTAAATACTAAAAACTCTTTGAACTGTAATTACCACTGCCAGAAAAGTTTTTGCCGTTAGCGAGTAAGACACAAAGTCATTAAAATTCAACGCATCACATTCACAGAAAAATATCATGTAAGAGTTGAAAAGATGTCGAATACAAAAAAGAAAAATAAAGCAGAGGTATTTTATGTATAAGATATGTTAAAATTCAACATATCCTTACTCCGTTGCTTTACTTCAAGACAGAAGAATAAGCAGTAGAAAATTCAAGTTAAATTATATAATATCATAAACTTTACGATCACCCTTACCTACTCGTTCGTTTCTACACATCTCTTTTATCGATGAGAATCTTTTCATAGCCTTTCATCCAAAAGCATAACGCTTTATGACAAAAAATTATTGATAATTAAAATAATCCTAAATATTACAGAGAGAAGAAGCTTCTAATAATACAACCTAGTTCAATATTTTGTTAAGAGTTTTTTTTACCTATGTCTCCTAATTCTTACATCCTGTACCTCCAACTTTCTGTAAAACTGTGAAAATCACAAACAAACACAATAAACTTTATGATGTCGCTTTATCTTAATTTCATTTTAGCTAATTCTCATTTTCACATTTATCTCAAACCACAAAATGTGATTATGTATAATTCTGAAGTTTTTCACTGCTTTTCGGGAGTATTTTTGTATTAAATAAAAAGAGAAGTAAAGTAAAATTTTTAATAATGATAACTTTTGATTAAAAACTTTTTATTCACTTTTCTTGCTGTATTTGTGTACAAAATAAACTTGAACTTCATTTGTATTGCGATGAAGCATCATTTTTAAAGTCTAATCTTCTTGATTCGTTCAATCATTATTAAAACAAATAATTCACATATCGATTATGCAAATTAAAGGCAATTAATTATCTTTTGCTATTAAACTCAAATGAGCCTTAAAAATTTATCCTTATAAGATATAAATTTTTAACGATTTCATTCAACTGATGTATTTTTTTTTACATTTTGTGTCTTTATGATGCATGTAAATTTATCGATTTAAATATAAATTCATAATTTTATGACAAAGCAATAAAATTATTTGAGCTTATTCATTTATTACCACATCAATTATGGCACAGGAAATACGAAATATTCAACCACAAAATTCCATTTCACATTCCTTTATTGTTTAATCTAATCTCAAATCTATCAAAAATTTGTTGATAATTCACTAATCCCATCCATATATCAAGTTGATAATAACAAAAGCAATGCTGTGTGTATGTATGTACATTCAGATATCTAATCACAGGATATATATCTCGTTCTCACTCTTATCACAATGGCAATATATCAACAAGAAGAGCTTGATGGCATTAAATTTTGCAAAAATCAATTAATCATTTTCTTTATTTTCTCCATTCACATAATCTTTCGAAAAATTTTCTCTCAATATATAAGTATGCATATAGAGAACAGCAAATAATTTGCTGTGAGAAACAAGTATTGATGTCATATTACATTATATTACATTACAAATATTAAGCAAACACAACGAAAGGGAGTGAAAGGCATTAAAAAATAATTATTATTAGATTTTTATGAATATATCTGTAACATCAGCGGAATAATTAAGGGAAAGTCACTAAGAGAAAGTGTATACAGAGAGATTATTATCACAATAATATAGATTAGTATTTGTTCTGATGATTTTATTGTTTCATGATTTTGTGGAGAAATTCGAATTTGAAATCTCTGAATTTTTATATCATCCCTCTGCATGAATACAGCGCGGAATGCTGTTAGATTATTAACAGAAAGAATTGCTGTTTGTAGGTACTATAAATAAGACATTACTTTTATATAAATTATTGATTTATTTTAAGACTAAGTCATGCTGCATATGAGGATTTCCTGGAATAAGTCTAGACATTAGCAATTCACTAAAATTAATTTGAAAGCTTTCAATAAAAAGAAGATAAACAAAAAAATCAAAAACCAGTTAACTCAATAAATTTTGATAATAAATCAAATTAAAAATAAAATTCCAGATTTTTGCCACCCTAGTTTGCCAACCTTGACAATTTGTTTAATTGAATATGGAAAATACAAAATTTTTCATGCCACCATATAAGCCCCTCATCACGATGAAAGAATTCCATCGCAGTTAATTGAAAAATTCTTCACATAAACACAGCATATATAATTTAATGTGTTTTAAGCTTTGCTAGATTTTGTGGTAATTTACAAAGTTTTCACTTTAAACAACAACGAAAATTTTCAATTACAATCTATGATATTTTTTTAACAATTAAATGTTTTAAAAAATTCATCAGTCGAAGTTTTTTTTTTGTGAATGGAAGCAACGCAGCAAAAAAAAATAAATAAGAAAAAATAAAAAATTATTTCATTTTCTGGAATTTAAACAATAAATTTATTTGGAATGCACAAGCAATAACAACAAATGCCGGAAAAACTAATAACTCAGTTCGTACATTATTTGCTGTGTAACGCACCTGAGTTTTTTTTTTCACTACGGCGGTATGAATGGAATAATAATAATAATTTATGCTCAGGGTTCTTCGCAAATGAAAATTTGCCATTTATGTGTTTTTATACTTAAAAATAAAATGCTATAGCATAATAGAGCAGTTGCTAAATTTATAAAAAAAAAATTGAAAATGAAAATGAGAATTAGAAAACTGATCAATATTTATTTTGTGTAACTTAAACTAATAAAAAAATGAAAAATGACATAAAATTTAAAATTTAATCGATTTATCAATTTTTGGAATTTGTACATGAAAATCAGCATAAATAATTGTATTCCAATGAATTTTATAGAAAGGAGATGTAAATCAATTTCAATCCAACAAAAGCTTTTACATCAATATAGATTATTGCTTTACGGAAGCTTACACAGATTGAAAATGCTTTTAAAGCTAATCACTGAAGTAAGCAGCTGCTTTAAATGTTTTTAAATTTTCTTTATATTTTATCGCATTGAAATATTATGAATTACTATGCAGCTTTACAAGATTCTACTCTTAAGGCAAACTTTGAGTGATGTTTTCGACATTAAGCTTTGATTTAAAACTTCTTGAATTTTAGTTTAATGAAATTATAGAATTGTCTCCTTTCTTGAATCATGTCACGATTTCATTTAGTTGATTAAAATTTGAAGTTTAGCTTTCGACTAATGTTGTATGTCAAC